CACCGTCAGCGAGCCACATGGGTGGAGTCTGGGAGAAACTAGTGGCCTCCACAAAACGCGCGCTCCGAGTAGCACTGGGAAACAGTTGCGTGACAGACGACGTGCTACAGACGGTGCTGACTGAGATTGAGTTCGTCCTGAACAGCCGTCCGATCACGTATGTGAGTTCCGACATCAGCGACGAGGAACCACTGACACCCAACCATTTTCTGGTGGGCCGGCCTGAAGCGGCACTGCCGCCCGGTGTCTTTACTGACCATGATGCTTTTGGCCGGAAGAAATGGCGCCATGTGCAGGCGCTCACAGATCACTTCTGGCGCAGGTGGCAGAGGGAGTATCTGCCACTTCTGCTCAAGCGGAGGAAATGGCTGTCGGATAGAAGGAATGTTCAGGTAGGAGATGTCGTTCTCATCATTGACGGAAGATCTCCCCGCGGATTCTGGCCGCTTGCACGAGTGCGCAAAGTCTTCCCAAGCTCTGATCACTGAAAACACGATTTACACCCCATTGACACCTTAAGTTGGGATTACACCCACTTTACACCAGATATGCACCAGAAGTACGCCAACCTGATGCCCATTATACACCGTTGTTAGTCCCTGTTTGCACCCATGAACCTTTTTAACACCGCTCATACACCGATCCGCTAAATATACCATCAACACACCAGGCGAACACCCTCGTTGAAACACCATCTGTACACCTGGGTGATGCCCAGATCGGGGTGTAATAAGGGAATAGATTGGGACAAGAACTTTCTGTAAACACCCTTTTTACACTATACGAACACCATCGTTGAAACACCATCTGTACACCATATGGCGATGCCCAGATCGGGGTGTAATAAGGGAATATATCGGGATAAGAACTTTCTGGAAATACTCCTTTTACACTATACGAACACCATCGTTGAAACACCATCTGTACACCTAGGGCGGCGATGCCCAGATCGGGGTGTAATAAGGGAATAGATCGGGATAAGAACTTTCTGGAACCACCCTTTTTACACTATACGAACACCATCGTTGAAACACCATCTGTACACCATATGGCGATGCCCAGATCGGGGTGTAATAAGGGAATAGATCGGGATAAGAACTTTCTGGAAACACCCCTTTTACACTCATTGAGCAAGGAAGCAACGCCATTTTGCAACGCCGTTTTTCGCGCGCTTTCTAACGGCTGCCGACATGACGTCAGCGCGGCCGACCAATGGGAAGCGGCCTAGGCCCCTGCGCGGGCCCTCGGCCGCCGTTAACGGCTCAGTTTCGCCGTGACCGCGACTCAGGACGCTCCGACGAGGGGAGCGTCCCAAGTGCTAGGTGGTGAAAAGTGAAAACCTCTATTAAGTGGGCTGTGAGTGCGGAGTGCGACTCAGGATTTCCCTCTGGCCTAGCGGGACGCACCACGGTGCCTACCCGCGGCCAGATTCTGCCCTTCCAAGGAGCGGATGGGCAACAACCGCCCAGGTACGCCCTCCACATCGCGCCAACGACTCTCAGCAGCCGACACGCCGTCGAGGAACACCAGCAGCCAGGTGGCTCGCCAGCTACAGCTCGAGCTGGATCGATCCGAAGGCGGTGCCGGGGGCACGAGGCCCACCCAGCCGGTGCTTCTGGGTGACGACCAGCTGGAACAGCTCGCCCGCCGATTGGCGACTCTTTAACAGCCGCCCCGGCCGGGCCGCGCTGCCCAGCCATCGCAACCAGACTCGACACCTCGGCCGGGTTCGGCTTCTCAGCGCCCCATGGACGGCCCACCTCCGCTGGTGCTCCCGCCACCCGAGTTGAACCAGCAGTGGCGGAACTACCTCTCTCAACAGAGGCTTATGAACGAGAACTATCAAACAAGGGACCGCCAAGAAATCAGAGTGCTACTCCTAGCCACTGAGCGGCCCCCGGCCGACATCCAAGACCAGCAGTTCCTTCAAGATAGACTGAAACTGTTCGTCATAGTCGGCCACCGCGGCTGGGCGGCCGCGCTAAGTTTCGTATGCGCTAAGTTTCGTTATGCGTTTCGTTTTAAGTTTCGTTGTAATAAATGTTGCACCAGCTGGCTGACTTTGGTGACGGGTCTGCGAATGAAAAAGGTGGGGAGCGGTGGTGTTGGGGAGCGGTGCATGGATGGTGCTAGCCGGGTGTACCGTGGGTGCTAGGGGAGTGTAGAACAGGAGTAAAATGGGTGCAAAGAGGGTGTAGAACAGGAGTAGAATGGGTGCAAAGAGGGTGTAGAACAGGAGTAAAATGGGTGCAAAGGGGGGTGTAGAACAGGAGAAATATGGGTGCAAAGGGGATGTACAACAGGAGTAAAATAGGTGCAAAGGGAGTGTAGAACAGGAGTAAAATGGGTGCAAAGTGGTGTAGCACAAGAGTAAAAAGAGTGCACATAAGGTGCAAAGGTGTCATAAAGCTGGTTCAGGGGGTGTAAACCCGGTGCAAGTGGGTATGATACGGGTGTCATATAGGTTTACTGGTGGCGTTAAAAGGGTGCAAGAGGGGTGTATGAACGGTGTTCGACAGGTGTACAGGTTGTATGTTTGGTGTTTCGATAGGGTTAAGATGGTGTTCTTCTGGTCTAAGTAGGGCGTAAAGTGGGTATCGTTTTAGACCACACCCCATTTACACCAAAAAAGGAATCATTTGAGTTTTGAGTGATGGGAGATTGCGAACGGTGGAGGTCAAGACGACGGGAGGTCACGTGCACCGCAGGCCGGTGAGCAAGATATGCTTCTTAGAGGAGTGCCCAACGTGACTGCATACGTGACTGACATACATGAAGACTCAAGCTTGTTCGTGAAACAATGGTACCCTCCAGAATGAGCTACAGTGCTAGTGTGTTGTAGTGTTCCCCTGCGAGCGAACACTGGGGGGAGTGTCGCGATTTTCTTTATCGCGGGTACAGTATCGACTAGCGAGTTGTTATTTAACGGCACGAGAGTTTGTTGACCTCAGAAAATTCATCGCAGTTTGAAAGAGAAAGGTTACTTTTCTCGTAGCCGTAGAAGGCTTAACCCTATTCCTGGCGGGGGGGGGCTCAGGAGCCCCCCCTGAGGTTTTTTGGTTATTTCTCCCAAACGCGTTGAGCTAGGAAGCTCAAATTTTCTGACTTTTCCTATAAGGCTTCTACGCAACATGTCTGAAAATTTTGAGTTGATCTGACCTCAGGTCAGGTCACCAGAGGCGGTTTGGTGACCCTACCTCAGAAAAGTTTGCAATCACGCCAGAGCTAGAGTTTTTGACCGATCAATTTCTTCTCTTCAGGCTTTAGTTAGGGTACCAGTATGTGCAATTTGTATATCTCGGAATTTTGATATCGGTGACCTAAGGTCAGGTCAATTTCGCGACCTCCCCATTATAAGTCAATGGGGGAAAAATCAACTCCCTGTTTTTACCACTAAAACGGGTCGGAATGGCCCCATATACCATACATGACTTCATATACGATCAACCTTCACTACCTTGAGGTCTGTTTTGCTGTTGGGCAGCTGTGAGGTCATGTGACGTCATCAAAGGTCACCAAAGGTTTTTGGCCAATAACTCCGTACAGGAACAAGATACAGACGCGTGGATGGTCTCATTGTGTTCAGCTCGTCAAGACGCATCGAATGATATACATGATGACCTCGAGGTCACGTGACCTGAGGTCAACCTTTGACCTTGACCTTTCGAGGTCAACATATATATCATTCGATGCGGATTGACGAGAGGATCACGATGATGCCCTTAGTTTGTTTCTATCTTGACTAATTCTAAAGTTATTCGAGAAAAACTCTCTCCATATCTAGCGCCGCCATTTTGACTTTTTCGACCCCTGTGACGTCATCTTTGACCTGACCTGAAAATGACCTTTGTAAAAATTGTAGACCTTGTCCATGCGTATCCGATGCCGTTTACCGCTTGTCGCTATCTTGCTTCGTTCTCGAGATCTCAGGGGGGGGGCCGAATCGCCCCCCCCGCCAGTTTCTTGTCCCGGCGGAGCCCGCCAGGAATAGGGTTAACATGTTTGACCACACACATACGACAAACAAATATTACGAACTTAGTGTCAAATGTAACGTTTAATATACAAGGTTTGTTTATAGACGGTGCGTCAACAATTTGCAAACGCGGTACGAGAACATTTTTCATTCAGACCATTTCACGACTACATAGCTTGACATGTACTAGATAACTAGAGGATATTGGAGTCCCATTTTGTTATAGCTTATCGTCGTTATTGGTGTGCACTCAGACATTCGAAGCATTCGTGACTCAAGGATCAGAAATGTGCAGTCAGTGCCTCGGCAGCCAGTCAACACTCAGCAGCATATCTATTATCTACAGTCAGTGCCTCGGCCCATAAAATTAGTCACGTTGTATCTAAAACTGAACAGGATCCACATGAACAAAGTATGTCATTAAAGACATCTAAAAATATAGGTTGATTTGTCATCAGTAAACTGAATGAGGCTTCTGTTTTTCGCAAATATACCAATACAGGTTGCAGGAGATATTAGCCGTTTTGACGACGGCCATCTGGCACACATTTGGTGCACATCTGGTACAGGTTAGGTGCAGATTTGGTCAAATCAGGTTCAGTGTGTCTCTTAGCAGCTATCAGCTAGGGTTGCACTAATTGCTTATATGCCTGCTTTGTCATATCATCAGAGAGCATCATCGATTAAAACACTGAAATGTATTCATAAAATGAAGATATTTGCTGTAAAAGATATTGGGTGCAGATTTGGTCAAATCAGGTGCATTCGCCGGATAGCCCGTCGTGAAAACGGCTAGTATCTAGTAATTATGTAGGTTATGTAGAGGGGTGCTTTACATAAACCTTCCCATCCGCTTCAGTGAAAATCCATTTTTGCAGCCTTGCATTGCAATGACGAGAACACAATCGATTGTAACAAAAAGAAATAGAGACCGTCTACATTTCGACACCCAAAAATTTGACCTGTATCAACCAATTTCGGAAAGCTGGAAGTGTTCGTCACCACCGTTATCCTATTGTTACAGTATGGAGACGTCGAACAACATTCGGATGCGGTCCAGCGGCATATCGTACAAGGGTGACCAGCCCGAGACGGGGTCTGTCTACGTCGAGGGCGAGTCGTCCTGGATCACACCCGAGGGCAAGACGGTGCTACTCAAATACACCAGCGACGAGGGCGGCTACGTACCGGTGGTGTCCATCTCGTGATCCGGGGACCGGCCGTGGCGTCCATCTCGTGATCCGGGGACCGGCCGGGGTTTGAATCTCGTGATCCGGGGGCCGGCGGCCACTGAAGCTGTGGCGTCCATCTCGTGATCCGGGCGCGGACATCCGCTGCTCCCTGGAAGGCGTCTGTCCAGCCTTGCTCGCGTGATAGCCGAGGAGCCGACGCGGCGGTTTCCTGTTCGTAATCCCTGATGATGTCACACATGTGAATAAGACTATCGTGTATCGGTGAGCCCACTGTTTTCGAAAATGGTGTAACAAATATATTGAGCTTCTGTTTTATATGAATCCAAGCGTTTCTTTTATACACATTACAGTTTAGTTACACACTTTTCAAGATTGTTAGTTGTTTTCAACCTTCATGCACACGTGTGTAGTTACGTACTACGTGTACGTTTCGTTAAAACTTGAGAAAAAATACATTAGTAAAGCCACACACCTTTTGCTTGCTATGATTTTTTTCTCTTTTTAAAACTATAAAAATGCATCTTTATTTTCAATAATAATATTTCTAGTTTTCAAAATTCGTCTCATCGCTGGGCTTATGTTAACCCTCGCCGGCACAGGGAGGAGGGGGGGTTGATGCACCCTTCCTAAGGTTTTTCGCGAATAACTTGCGTAAAAAGCGGCCGATCGCGACGAATTTTTCAGTACCCTCGCATTGATCAATTTTACACCTACCCTGACAATTGCATGACCCTGACCCAAATGACCTTTGACCTGTGACCTCTTTTCCGAGACCATATTTGGCCGGAATAGCGATTCGGCGTAGGTATGTCGGCTCGCATTAGCCGCGCGTTTACAAGCTTTTCGTGGTTTCAAACGTTCAAACATGTGACTTGATGTTACTCCCATACATTAGGGTGGGTGTCAAGGTCACCTGAAGGTCAGATCAGGTCATTGACCTTTGGTGACCTCGGGTGACCTCGGTTCACTTTTTCGAGTTTTACATGTTTCTAGGATAGTTTTTGGAGCTGAATTCGAATTTAGCAACCATTTGAACATTTACGAAGCAGTTTTGGTGCCTTCGTAACATGTTACGAAGCTGTCAGAAGCGGTTGACACGTATTACGAATACCCGTCACAACCCCTACCGGTTGACCTGACCTGACCTGACCCGACCTGGTCTAAATGCTTAAAGACATCATCTCTGATTAAAACTAACACGATATTCATGATCAGCGCCCCGGAAAACCACATAGCAGCCACACTTTACGACTTTCTAACAGGTCCCGATTTTCCCGGTTTTCGGGTCATTGACCTGAACTGGAAGGTCACCTGATGACCTGGCTAGGACCTTAAAATTGGGTATCATCGGCTTCCTCTCGTGACGGGCAGCACGCTCGTTTTTTCCGCGAAGCTCTAGCTCGATCAGGGGCCAAACGCGAGGGGAGGGTCGTACCCCCCCCCCCCCCCCCCCGTGCCGTCGAAGGACGCAAAATGGCCTGTGCCGGCGAGGGTTAACGGCTCAGCTCGCTAATTCGCTCCCAAACCAGCAGTGACCTGACGCGGTCGCCTCCCTTCTGTCACAATCACGACTGGGTCTCGAGTGTAGAAACTATGTCCTCCAATCCGCCGAGAATGCCTCCCCAGTCGCGTCGGCCGATACGCCGACGTTCTGCACACAAAGTCCAGGATATGTTATGTGTATCTGTGGTGGCGCCATGTCAGCATATACAGAGCTCCGTTCGCGGGTCGACCGACCACCGTGGGTGCAGACGAGGTACAGAGGTCGGCGGACACTGCTGGTGAGCTGCCGCGCTCCGCTCGACATGGCTCCGGGACGTTCACTGCTGCTGAGTCTGACCCTGCTGACTGCCGGAGTTACTTTATGCAGTAAGTATATAGTCTGTACCTGCTGACTGTCGGAGTTACCTTATGCAGTAAGTAGCCTGTACCTACCTGACTGCCGGAGTTACCTTATGCAGTAAGTATGTAGTCTGTACCTGCTGGCTGCTGGAGTTACCTTATGCAGTAAGTAGTCTGTACCTACCTGACTGCCGGAGTTACCTTATGCATTAAGTATGTAGTCTGTAGGTACCTGCTGGCTGCCGGAGTTACCTTATGCAGTAAGTATCATAGTCTGTACCTGCTGGCTGCTGGAGTTACCATACCACCCAGGCACGTACCCAGGATTTCGCCCAGGAGGGGGCCACCTGCTTCCGAAGGGGCCCTTAGGTCACCCGGGGGCCCCCAGGCCGCCCAGGCGACCAGGGGCCCCCAGACAACCAGGGGCCCTTAGGGGTCCTAGGCAACCAGGGGCCCCATGCGACCAAGCCCCCGCTACCAGGGGCCCCCTTGGCGACTAGGGGCCCCAGGTGATCAGGGGACCCATGCGACCAGAGGCCCCTATGCGACCAGCCCCCCGGCTATCAGGGCCCCCCTAGGCGACTAGGGACCCCAGGCAATCAGGGGCCCCATGCGACCAGGCCCCGGCTACCAGGGGCCCCCTAGGCGACCAGGGGCCCAGGAAACCGGGGCTCTCGGATGACTGCAGGGGCCCATTGGGTCATCAGGGGCCCCTCGGGTAACCAGGGGCACATAAATGAAACTTTGATATCATTTTTCTTCCTAGTAAAAGACGTTTTATCCAGTGTTTGAAAAAATATACCGGGGCCTGAGGGGCCCCCTGAGCGCCTCCGGCGCTCAGGAGGGGGCCATGGCCCCCGTGCCCCCCTTGGGTACGTCACTGATACCACCTCCGATACTTGTTGATCAGCTGATCCGGTGGTAAGTGGAACTGATGGTATGCTAATTATAAATAGACGTTTTCACGACGGACTATCTGGCAAATGCACCTATTTGACCAAATCTGCACCAAATCTCTCTTACAATAAATACCTTCGTGAAATGAACTTATTTCAGTGGTTTAAGCGAACATAACATATGTACAGTCTGATAATTTGGAACATGAGGTTTAATAAGCATATGTGGAGCCAAAACTGATAACGTTTAAAACACACTCAACATAATTTGACCAAATCCGACCTAATTTCCATCAAATGTGTACCAGATGGCCGTCGTGAAAACGGCTAGTGACGCTCCAACATTCAGCGAGACCTATACAATTGCTGTCTCAGTTTATGCTCAAAACGTAAATGTTCCCGGAATATTCCCTTTAACTCACTACTCAGTCAGAGCTCTGCTTACAGACCGCGCGTGCAGCTATGTTTGTAATGCATGTCACGATCAGACCGCTCAGCACTGTCTAAACGTCAGTCGCTGCGCCATTTCATGCCACAGGCGGTCATGACAAGCTGCATATATGTCTGCGTAGGCATTATACACATTGTAACTGGAGTCCTGAACTTTAACACATTTTTGTATTATTAACATACTTACGCTATCAGTAGGGCTATCAGCGGACCCTGTCACCCGTAGAGTGGGAATAGGGATTAGGGGGTGGCGTTTCGCCACCTCACCCCACCGGCGCTAAGATCTCGGAAAGCTACCGACCGATTTTTGAAGCTCAAACGGTGATCAATAGCCACACCGGGGATCTATACCATGTGATCCAATTTCATTGACCTAAGTGCAACCGATGACGTCACAGGTCAGGTGAAAAGTCGCATTTTGACCGTTTAGCAGGCATTCTAAGTTAGAAATGTGTTATACGTATCACCGAGTAAGAGGCATGCTATTAAAAATCATCGATGGAGCATTGTTTCTCTAATACATATTTTGCTAGTTGAGTCACTAATACCAGGTCAGGTCACATAAGTCACTTCACTAAGGATAAGGGTCACATATGAGTCCAACTCTAGCAGGGGCGTGTGATATATGTTTTATGGTCCATTTCACATTTCAAACTCAATGATGTGCGTAAGGCGAGCATTGGGGCCTGTCAAGGCTACTTTCTGATAAAGGTCAGGTCAAAGTCTGGTCAAAATGGTCAAATTTCAAATGCTAACATTTTCATATACTTAAAGGGGTAGGTATCTACTCATTGCTTCAGGTGACCTCAGACCTGACTTTGTTCCAAATGCCAATTAACCCGCGCGGGGCTGGGAGGGTAAATTTTACCCCCCTCGCGAATTTTTGCAATATCTCAAAAACGGCGGGGGGCAGCGCCGCCAAACTTTCAGTACCTTTTCTTACATCAATTTGACACGTTCACTGAAAATTTGAGCGAAATAGGTCGATTTTTTGTTGAGAAATTGACGTTTTAGTGACGTCATGTTCGCCATTTTCGCCTAAAAAACGGCAAAATTTCAAACGCCGCTAACATCTTCATTTTTAAAGGAATCAAGACGTAACAAAAAAGTATATACGTAATTATAGTTTGTCTATCAAATGGCTATCTCGGTTTTTTGAAAATTTTGGATTTTGGCCCGAATTTTTTCAAAAAACTGACTTTTTTGGGAAAATAATTATAAAATCCAAAATTTTGAGTGTATCGATACCACTACATACCAATTTTTACTACTACATCCCAATTTTTAGAATAATTGGTTCAAAAATGTGGGAGTTATTCAAAATTTTATGACGTCAAGACACACAAAAATTTTGAAAAATGAATTTTTTTGGAGGTTCTAGATCTCGTACGGAAACAAAAATGGCACCATTCGATTCGCCGTGAAAAACTGCATCAGATAGACACCTTTTCAGGCCTTAACAACCAACTTCAAAATTTGACCTCACTTGACCTGACCTTAACCTGACCTCGACCTAAAATTCATCCAGAGGTGGTCCATATCACTTATTGAGTGTGCCTATTGAATTCTATGAGTAAAATGACCCATAAAATATGTGTTGCACATGCCCTTTTCTATTTTTTTGTTTTTTGGTGACCTGACCTGACCTGACCTGACCTTGACCTTGACCTCTAAATGATATTGTATGCAACGAATATTGTCTTGGTAGCCTAAGAACACGTTTTGGGCAATCAGTCTCAGTCCATGACTCCATTCTTCGGCAACTACGGTGCAAGGCCGATACTGTAGGTACTGTAGAAACTTGCAATTTGTACCCTTGACCTGACCTTACCTTGACCTCAAACTGTAAATTAAGTACATGTTTGTAGTTGTTCGTGATGAGAGCTTTCGATTGGCGTTTGAATTTTCCAAATCGGACCATTAGTTCGGGAGATAACAGCAGCCCCGCGCGGGTTAATGTCAACATGTTATCGTGAGTCAACTCTCTGTCAAATTTAGGCATTTTTACCTGCCATAGTTTGAATATATATAAAACAGGAGTGCCTGCTACCACAATCATGTGGTACGCGGGAAGCTGACATATGGGAAGCGCGGGACCAACTTTTTGTTGGGCTAGGATCTTTTGGTATGGCCAGACATTTCACATCCGGAAGGATGCTAGGAATCAGGGGAGACATTGGTCTGGGCCGACAACCTGGTGCACCGCCGGGGCTGAGCCCATCACGTGGACAGGTCACCCAGCCCCCTGACGGTCCCTGCACCCGGCCATGGACCTGCTCCGGGGGTGCAGCTGCCCACTGCTCAGTACCCAATGCCCATGTGGGATAAAGGTGACCGTGCAGCCCGGATCACTAAGGGGCTACTAAGGACCTCAGCTCATAGATGGGGCTGGGATCCAGACCTAGCTGGTGACGTTAGTACGGGACTAGGCCACCAGGGGCGCCACTAGTAACCTCGTCTCCAGGTGGCGCTGGGGTCGGCCGTGCCGTTAGCAACTGAGGTACCGGACTTGGACTCGACCACCAGGCCTGCGGCTGCTCTCAGGGAGCCCTTGTGCAGGTGGCGCCCGCAGCAGAATGGGAAAGGCACAGGGAGCTAAAGTCGGAAGCAATCGACTGCTCAGGTCGAGGATATGCAGTATTTTCTGTGTCACAGAAATAGACGAGCATGGTTATCGTATCGTCATAATAAATAGTACCATACATTCACAGGCCCGGGAACGATGGCGAGGGGGCAGCGGTAACGCTTGCCCACCCCCCGAACTACAGGGTCTTTCATAATGAATGTTATTTTTAAAATAGCCATAGCTCAGGTGATATACATCACAAAGCTATTGTCAATACCCGAATGAAATAACAAATCATGGGAAATTATGTACATTTGACTCGCATTTAGGTACCCTTCACGGATTTTGAACTGTGTCGCCTCGTTTTCGGACACAGATTTCGGCCCGCTGACGCAAATGGTGCACCACGCGCTTCACATCCTTCGCGCACTGCCTTGCAGCAAACCTCTCCACTGTGACCTGTAGCTCTATGAGGGTCATTGGAAGGGTTTCTGTTGGGGGCCTCCAGAACGACTGCCCGAAATCAGAAGTCCATCGGCTAGAGATCAGGGAGCTCCAAGCTGGCCATGGCCGCTCAGTGAGACGGCTGATCACTCGTCTGTCAAAGATGCCAGCCAACCACTGGCGCCCAGCCGCCGTTGTGTCACTTCAGCGCCGTCCTACTGAAACCAGCGGCCTTGTCTTCGAACCGCGCCAGGCACGTGAGGCCAGAATTCTTTCTTGAACAACCTCAGATAAGCTGGCCCGGTCAAAAATGAGCAAAAGCGAACCAATGGACGACGACCCGCCCGTCGACCATGGCAGCCCAAAACATGACCTTTCGTGCGTTTTGTTCCTTGCAGTTAACCGTGACATTCTGGAATCTGTCCACAAGCCTGTAGTTATTTTAGAGCGGACATTGTGCTTCTTTTGAAAGTGTCCCCGAAACTTACGGTACACAGCCGTGCCCCTCAGTGAGGTGTGAGCCGTTTCCCACGACCACCCAAAACGCCTACGTGAAAAAAGAGCTGACCCGTGTTGTAAGGGGAAGCATTTCATGTCCGCACAAAAGAGAAGTTTGGTGAGGTGTGACAGTTTTAATTACATCAACAGAAATTCCAAGAAATTGTCAATAATGTTAATACAAAATGTATGCTCTTATTATTTACGAACACCTTCAACATGGCGTTTTAAAAATAGCATTCATTATGAAAGACCCTGTATATACAGCCGAAGGGGCGGTACTCCGTAACATTGAGGAAGTACAGCGAGGAGGTATCTGTTCTCCCTTTTCCCGACTTCGGTTTGTGCTCTTTATAAATCCAAATGTCAACCAAAGGTCCCCTGCTCCGTCGTTTCCATATTCAGGCTTGTCAAATCCTTCTCCACACCTCAACCCTTTGTTCCGGGCTGGAAGGGCAGCTTTATCCCATGCGGGTAGCTCCCCTAGGATCACGCCCGTGGCCGGGCGCGGCGACTGTCAGTGGGCTGGGTGGCCTGTCCTCGTGATGGGCTCCGCCCCGAGTCCTGACGAGTCACCAGGGTGTCCGTCCAGACCAATGTCTCCCCCTAATTCCTACCATCCTTCCGGCTTTGCTGTAACGGTCTCGTCAGACCGACAGAGCCTAATCCAAGTGAACCGAAAAAGCCTACTCTGCCGCTCGCTGACACTCGTGTCCCCTGTTGCAGCGTCGAAAGGGTGCACGGCTACCCAGTACCTACCGGTGCGGGGAGTCCGGACACTGCATTCCCCATACGTGGCGGTGTGACGGCGAGGAGGACTGCCCGGACGGCGAGGACGAGCACGACTGTCCCGGCAGCGGCACTTGTGAGTCGCACCAGTTCGCCTGCGCCACCGAACCGCGGTGCGTGCTCCAGTTCTTTGTATGTGACGGGGATTACGACTGTTCCGACGGCAGCGATGAGGCCAACTGTGACACCCCGCTCGGTCTAAGGCCGGAGGTCACGGAGCCAGAGCCGGAGGTCACGGAGCCAGCGCCGGAGGTCACGGAGCCAGCGCCGGAGGTCACTGAGCCAGCGCCAGCGATCAGTGATCCAGCGCCCGTGGAACCGAGGTTGCCCACGCCGACTGCCGAGGAGCCGACTGGGGCCCGCTCAAGTGACCGTTCCGCCGGTGAAGAAGTGCCGCCTCTGCAGAGTTCGGCGGCTGCTGGGCCCGTCCCTCGGACCCGCTGGCTGCTGCTTCCACTAGTCGCCGTGTATCAGGGGCTCGGCTAACATGTTAACTGGTGGGCCAAATGGCCCACCAGTGACCGGAAATGGCCCACCAGCCTCAAAGATTTGGCCCACCAGTAATTTTCTGAAAAATCGAAGTTTTCACATGTTACATCACGACATAGGTAACATTGTGATACATACAGAGACAGAGGCCCTACTACATTGTTGCATTTATTAAAAGTAAGAACTTGATCGTCGTTGTCCGCCTAATACCATCACCATTCCCGGTTTCTTGAGATAGCCGTAGGTTAAGCCTCGGTCACACTTCACCGGATTGGACCAATGGACGAGAAACGGACGGCGTCCGGTGATGTCCGGGGGATGTCCGTTCGTGTCCGTTGGACGTCCGTTTCTCATCCGGTAGGTAATATCTATTCCATGTCCGGTGGTGTCCGGTGTGCTCAACCGGACACCACCGGACATGGAACGGATATTAACGGATGACAAACGGACGTCCAACGGAAACAAACGGACATCACCGGACGCTGACAGTTCTCGTCCGTTTCTCGTCCGTTGGTCCAATTCGTTTAAGTGTGACCGAGGCTTTAAATTTTATGCAGTAATCGTGAAAGACGTTTGCCTCTGACAATTACAGATAGTGTCGGCGGCTTCCAGCCGATCGAGGTCTGCGAGAGTTCTTGCAAGCTTTCCGATCGATCGAGTGGTTACAGTCACATAAGCATCTGCCGCAGACCAGTCGGTTACAAGAAAAACTACGAATAAAGAACAGACCAGTTCAGACGGTCGGGGATAAGCCTGCGAGCGATCTCAGACGGCTCGCCGATAGACACGATATAAGCCAGAGTCAAACTAGAGGTAGTGTCGGCAACTTCCAGCCGATTGAAGTCTGCAAGCGATATTATGTGTCTTCACGAACGGTATGATGCTTGCAGTCGCACATCTGACCAGTTGGACGAATTTCGAACCGTTCACAGTCAGCGTTCCAAAAATTTCTCATTTGGGCTGAAGATGACATTCAAGAATAAGAATGGATAATTTTCCACTCTCACATTTTGGGTGGCTATAATTTTCCACTCAGACACCCAAGAGAAATCTGAAGTTTAGGACACTGTTCATCAGAAGTGTACATAACTTAGTTTTTTTTAAAGAAAATATTAGGGTTGCGCAGTGCGCTTGGGCTTTTGAGTGAATTCTTTTCCATGCGACACCAATAGGCTTAATGATCATTTTCAGAGATGTTGAGGTTGCTGCTACAACCCCCTTTTGGGGTTCCTGCTACAACCCACTTTATATATAAAGTTGCACTCGTGCTGTTCACAATTCCTCCCGATCCACCCGACAACGCCCGATCCCGTCCGATCGCTTCCGAATCTCCGACTAGTCGGCGAGCGATCCATTCAGGGATCGCTGATTTTTAACATCCGACCGGCCGTAAGTTATCGTCCAAAGTTTTATAATCTGCGTCAATATTTTGTGCATACTTGTGCGATTTTATGTGCACCGCCGGAGTATCACCACTGAGAAGGTTGTGGGTCCCTACTCTCTCTTCCCTCTCTGAAGAGTCGGGGGGGGGTCGAGCCCCGATTTTTTTTACATTTTTAATGCCATCCTGACGTTTTTTGCAGAATAAAGTGGCCGAAATCTGGGGAGAAATCGAAAATGGGGGGGGGGGGTATGGCTACGAAGGTCAGTCCATGTCGCTGCCCAAGTGGCCCACCAGTCAAAATTCCTTAGCCGAGGCCCTGCCGTGTATGCGACTCAAATGCTGTAAAAATCGACTACGCACAGTGTGCTTTTATCAGTTTTGCGGCTTGCTATAAAATCGACTGCGCACAGTGTGCTGCTGTATTAATTATCTTTTGCATTGGGAGAGAGTGCTAGCCAATTATATACATATATTAGGTAGCACAAACCGATCATTGTATCATGCAAATAAACCTTTAATCGTCAGGTTTTCGAGCTTATACCGTTTGTCTTAAATGCGTATAGGGGAGAGTTTTTCTCACAGACAATGGCAATACAAAAGCAATACAAATAAAACCAGACGTTTCGGACAACAAAGTGCATTCGTCAGTGGAAAATTCAGTTTCACATCGATGAAATGCTGTTTTTATTTGTATTGTTGTTTGTTTTTGTATTGTCATTGTCTGTGAGAAAAAACCAAATGCTTTTCATCTTATAGGGGAGAGGCTGGGGTAATGGGACGGAAGAGATTAGGGAGTAGGGACATGTAAATATTGCATAAATGGGCAGCATCCGTGTACAATTTTTTATCTCGCCCTTTTATTTTGTGTCGTGCAACGTTGGGAAGTGGCAGCTGCCAATGGGTGGAGAAGAGAATCGACAACTGCTATTTGAATGCTCGCGAAAGGGATATGGAGATTTTCTAATGGTATGCTTCGAAACCCGTTTATTTTCGTAATGTACGTTTTATGTATTTTGCGTAAGCCGTATGTATCTTATGTATTTTATCACGCAGGGGAGTATTCACAATTAAATATCAGTTGGGCAAACTGCAGGGAGGTAATCTAAATTAAGATTAATCAAAATTTAGATTATTTTATGCCCATATTTGGGCATTTGAGCAGCCCTTTGCAGAAACAGCTGTGTAGTGGCCCAGGAGTGACAGAATCACATCACTCTTTCACAAAGCAAAGTTGACATAACAAACTTCCTCTGAAACACCAAAACAGCTCTTAGAAAATTTTTGGGGTTCCTGAATTATGATGGGAACATAATCTAAATTAAGATGAAAAAATCAGCCTCAATGGGGAAATAATCTATAATAAGATTATGTCGTCAGCTGACTAATCTGTATTTAGATTACACAATCAGCTGAATAATCTTAAATTAGATTACATTCAGCTGGCCTAATCTAAATTAAGATTATAATGTTTAGCATCTGAGGGGATATAAACCCCAGTATTATGATACGACAATAAGAGATGCTGGAGTGCCACGTCGTGTGCAGGGAAATAGTCAGTCTAGCGCAGAAAAGAAAAATACAGCACATTACCAGGCTTTCTGTAAGTATATTTAACTTATTTTAGAGAATAAAACAACAGAAATTAGCAATAAATATTTGTTTTTAAGCTCAAAAGCCTTTTTAAGGTATATAAGGCAGCGTGAATGTGCAATAACAACTTAATGTACAACCACCTGGCCTAATAATGATTTCATCCCAGGTCGTTGCCAGCAGCACTTCCGTAATCACAGAGCTAACTCAGCTTTGGTCTCCCTTGGGACCTATGGCCCTTAACAATTATTGGAAGGGTAGGTTCCTAGGTACCTTGTTTGATTCCCCAGCAATGCCATATATTGCAGCCCTCTTGGGCACTGCCTTGGCCCCGGGCATGCAATTTTGAATAATTCATACATACTGTTGAGTTTCGGGTTAAAATACCCATATAAAATTCAAAGCATTGAAACTATAAGTAAAAACTGCACCCCAAACCACTCACATAGACTGACATTTCAAAAAAAATATTAACAATCTAAATACATGATTATATCTGGAAATATGACAGCATAATACAATGTTTACATTTTCAGGTAGGTGTCCGAGCAACTCATTTCTACTCACTCAGACAAAGGTATTTGATGAAATGGCACCAAAGATTCAGGATTTGTTTAATGATGTCTAAATTTGTCAAAAATAACAAAAAATTGTCATGTCTTACAATATTTCGCGAAAAAAACTAGGTTGAAATGACTGAGGGTCGAGCTGCGTCACTTTCGTATCAAACACACTCACCGGTTTTGTACGCTGATAGCGCGGCAACGCCACACTTCTACCTCACAAATTTAATTTTGTTGGGTGAATAAGATGTTACCATTATTTTGGTACCATTTAAGGACCATTCCATCGAAAAACACCGTCGGGAAAAATTATTACCGAGGGGATACACCGCGCCACGGACATCGCTAGATCGCGGCCGTAAATCGCCGTAGCAAAATTGCAATAAATGCGTTGTATTTGGAACATCTTTTCATAGTGGGATTGAATAATTGAATATTTCTTATCTCAGATATGCCGAAAAAATATTCTGAACATTTAATGAGTACGATAAAACAGGAGTAAAAACAGATGAATGCACTTGCCCATTCCTCGGTGACCTTGACTATTCATTTCCTAACTCCCAAAGTCCAATTTCAAATGTGCCGGTCCTTTCGCAATCTGTAGAATCGAGTTTCGTCTGTACCTCAGCAAAAAATCTCACCGATATGAGCATTTCTTCGACCGATATGAAGGGTTTGAATGTGGACATGTTGGAAATATAATCTAAATATTGATTATCACTCCTTATATGGTCATCGCTCCGCCCATTTCCGTGACGTCATAATCTGATATTAGATTAATCTTATTTTAGATTGCCTCCCTGCAGTTTGCCCGACTGATATACATAGATGTTTCAATTCCCGGCTTCATTTGCCTTGGCAGATAGTCGTCGGTCGTTACCATTTGACCAGAATTGTTGGTGTTCCCCCGGGGCAGCGAACCCCTGCCCCCCCCCCACCCCCACCCCCCATCCTCCCCCTCCCGTCTGCCAATGCGATCCGATTAGCTGGTGCGTGTGCGCGCGCGCCGCGGAGGGGGCGGTGCCTGGCGCTGCGCCCAGCTCTGATTGGTCGGCTGGCCGTGGGAGCGCTGGCCGGGCAGGGCCGGCCCCTGTGACGGCATGTCGCGCGGCACGTGGCCACAGTCGGGGGACGCGCGGGGGACGCCGGACGCTTTGTGGGCGCCGCGCTCCCCAGGCGCGCGGGCCGCGCTCCGAGCGTGGGACTGCTGGGGTCCGGCCGGCGCGCAGTCAGAGACATACGACTCGCGGCTGGGAACGCCGCCGCTACTGGAGACAGATCCGGCGGGTCGAGCCAAAAACGTGCGCAGAAATGAGTCAATACCTTGCTAAGTCTGGTGCTATCGGCACAGCTGTCGCCTATTTCGCATCTACCTATAACACGCGCACCGACGGGGGGCGGATATCCCCCCCCCTGAGGTTTTTCGCGGATAGCGGGAAAACCGCGACGCGTAGCGCCACGAAATTTGGTACTACTATTCTCTCATCAATTTTACACATGGTGTGCAAGTTTGAGCCTCCTAACTTTTAAGGTCAGGTCACCAGGTCACTTTGAATGACCCAACCTCAAGTCTGCAAGTCTTTTTGCAACTTTGTCACCGTGCCAGAGCTACAGTAGATGTCGGAGGCCTTTGAAAGTCGCAGGATGTTATTAGGTCATTAGTAGCTACAATTTGCGTATCTCGGAATTTTGATGTCGGTGACCTAAGGTCAGGTCAATTTCGCGACCTCCCCATTTTAAGTCAATACCTACGGGAAAAATCAACTCCCTGTTTTTACCACTAAAACGGGTCGGAATGGCCCCATATACCATACATGACTTCATATACGATCAACCTTCACTACCTTGAGGTCTGTTTTGCTGTTGGGCAGCTGTAAGGTCATGTGACGTCATCAAAGGTCACCAAAGGTTTTTGGCCAATAACTCCGTACAGGAACAAGATACAGACGCGTGGATGGTCTCATTGTGTTCACCTCGTCAAGACGCATCGAATGATATACATGATGACCTCGAGGTCACGTGACCTGAGGTCAACCTTTGACCTTGACCTTTCGAGGTCAACATATATATCATTCGATGCGGATTGACGAGAGGATCACGATGATGCCCTTAGTTTGTTCCTATCTTCGACTTTGACTAATTCGAAAGTTATTCGAGAAAAACTCTCCATATCCAGCGCCGCCATTTTGACTTTTTCGACCCCTATGACGTCATCTTTGACCTGACCTGAAAATGACCTTAGTAAAAATTGTAGATCTTGACCGTGCGTATCCGATGCCGTTTACCGTTTGTCGCTGCGATGTGTAGTTTTTGAGATCTGAAGGGGGGGGGCCGAATCGGCCCCCCCGCCAGTTTCTTGTCCCGGCGGAGCCCGCCAGGAATAGGGTTAATTAACCCGCGCCCTGCTGGGGGAGGGGGTGTTTGAACACCCCCTTGTGGTTTTTCGCGAATATCTCAAAAACGGCGGCGCGAAGCGCCGCCGTTTTTGGTACACCTTATCATACATCAATTCTACACATGTTGTGAAAATTTCAGACCAAGGTCATTCAAGGTCAGGTCACCAGGTCACTTGAAGTGACCTCACCTCATAAAAAGTTTCAATGGCTGTCATAGCTACACCGAGTGACCGATCACTTTGAAACTTTCAGCGATTGCTAAGAGCAATAGCATGTACAAAATGTATATCTCAGAATTTTGATATCGATGACCTAAGGTCAGGTCAATTTTGCGACCTCCCCATTATAAGTCAATGGGAGAAAATTGAAATGCGCCTCTTTTGGACAAAAGACATTATAAACACTCCCAAACACTGAATTACAAGCGGTTTAGACACACTGAACATGAAAATGGTGTCCGTGACCCCTGTTTATGCCCTGAGGTCATCTTAGGTCACGAATGGTATCTAACCGTTTTTCGCAAATAACTTTTGATAGAGGCATGCTAGAGCGATGAAAACGCCTTAGATGTGTTCAGCTCGACGATACGGATCGACTGATATGCAACATGACCCTTTCCGGTCAGGTCATGACCTTGACCTGAGGTCAAATTTTCACGTTGACCTTTCAAGGTCAAGTTATATTTCATTCGATGCGTCTTGACGAGAGGAACACGATACCGGTAACAGTAAGCTCGTACAAGGCTTGGGTCAAAAGTTATTGCAGAAAAACTGTTACCGAAAAAATCGGCTATTTTTGCAGTTTTTGCCCCCTGCAGGCAAAACCGTTGACGTTAGGTCAAATCTGAGAAGATTAGTTAGAAAGGGCGTTAATAGGGCTATCGAATGCGATTTTCCGCGGCGCTGTAGCTCTATTGGTTCCCGAGTTATGCGTTGGCTTCTTGGAAATTGACGACATTCGACCTGGAAATCGGCGAAATTTTGCCTTCAATGACCTCTGGTGACTTGACCTTTGACCTGACCAAAAAATTGACCGAAGTGATTTCCTCATTATTTTTGACGCTCTTTCGAACGCCGCCTTCCGCGTATCGCTACGTGGCCCAGGAGCCGAGTTAGAAGGGGGGGGTGTTCAAACACCCCCCCCCCCCCAGCAGGGCGTGGAAATCCAGGATCCCCAGCCGGGCGCGGGTTAAAATATAAATTTCTTAAGAAAGTGAGTCGTGGCAAAGTTAAACTGAAAAAGGGGAGACTTTGCCACTATGCCCAATAGTGTTTTTTTTAACCCGGCACCGCCTGGGCTATTTCCGTACCCACCACAGCCTGGGGGGGGGTCGGATCCGACCCCCCCCCCTGTTATCTCGAGAACCAATGGTCGTATCGAGCCCCGCGAGGCGGCGTTCGAAAGGTCTCTACGAGACCTTCTCAAAGCACCCTTAAGATTTTAAGATTGAGGTCAACTTTCGGGTCAAGGTCAGGTCAAAGGTCAAATTCAGGGGTTTTGCATGAATCGGCTTACGGACAGCGGAATCGATAGCTGCTGCTCGAAACTCACCAAAAATGACCTCAAAGGCCTAGTGAAGGTACCATGTGCGTATAGGGGTCATACTAGGTATAGGTCAAGGTCAGGTCAGGTCACGAAAGGTCACGGTTTTCACTTTCTGCTACATGGGCGTGCGACACATGTTTTATGGCTTATTTTTCACGCCGAATCCGATGGTAATGGTTATATGTGACCCCAAGTCACTGTGCTGGTGATAAGTGTGCATTGAAAGCATAAAAAATCGTTTATACTATACATAACTAAACGAGGGCTAAGAAAAAAGGTCAATTTTTCAACTTTTTATTTTTGACATAAAAATGCACTTTTCTAGACGAGCTTTGTCCTAGGAATCTAGTGGTGCCATTTGTTTTCACATGCGATGTTTAGAAGTGCCTCTAATTCACGAAAATGCTTATGACGTCACCATGCCCTATGCATGTTGGAGCTATTTTTTACAATTTGGGGGTCAAAAATCAAGATAGAAAGTTGAAATTTGGGGCATCTAATGTTCTAATAGAGCTCTACAACATATATTCTGGTTTTTTGGAAATTTCCAAAATTTTGGATTTTATTAACTGTTTCCAAAAAATATAGTTTTTTGAATTTTTAGGGGTGAAAAACGCATTTTACGGAAAATCCGAGATAGCCATTTTAAAGAACTCGTTGAGCTGCATCTTTTAATGTCCTTAATTTGCAATTTGCTTCAAACCCTGATTTTTGGCGATTTTTTAATTAACCCTATTCCTGGCGGGGGGCCTCAGGAGCCCCCCCCCCCCCCTGAGGTTTTTTGGTTATTTCTCCCAAACGCGTTGAGCTAGGAAGCTCAAATTTTCTGATTTTTCCTAAAAGGCTTCTACGCAACATGTCTGAAAATTTTGAGTTGCTCTGACCTCAGGTCAGGTCACCAGAGGCGGTTTGGTGACCCTACCTCAGAAAAGTTTGCAATCACGCCGGAGCTAGAGTTTTTGACCGATCAATTTCTTCTCTTCAGGCTTTAGTTAGGGTACCAGTATGTGCAATTTGTATATCTCGGAATTTTGATATCGGTGACCTAAGGTCAGGTCAGTTTCGCGACCTCCCCATTATAAGTCAATGTGGGAAAATCAACTCCCTGTTTTTACCACTAAAACGGGTCGGAATGGCCCCATATACCATACATGACTTCATATACGATCAACCTTCACTACCTTGAGGTCTGTTTTGCTGTTGGGCAGCTGTGAGGTCATGTGACGTCATCAAAGGTCACCAAAGGTTTTTAGCCAATAACTCCGTACAGGAACAAGCTACAGACGCGTGGATGGTCTCATTGTGTTCAGCTCGTCAAGACGCATCGAATGATGTACATGATGACCTCGAGGTCACGTGACCTGAGGTCAACCTTTGAACTTGACCTTTCGAGGTCAACATATATATCATTCGATGCGGATTGACGAGAGGATCACGATGATGCCCTTAGTTTGTTCCTATCTTGACTAATTCGAAAGTTATTCGAGAAAAACTCTCTCCATATCTAGCGCCGCCATTTTGACTTTTTCGACCCCTGTGACGTCATCTTTGACCTGACCTGAAAATGACCTTTGTAAAAATTGTAGATCTTGACCGTGCGTATCCGATGCTGTTTAGCGTTTGTCGCTGCGATGTGTAGTTTTTGAGATCTGAAGGGGGGCCGAATCGGCCCCCCCCCGCCAGTTTCTTGTCCCGGCGGAGCCCGCCAGGAATAGGGTTAAACATTTACCACTTTTTGACTAAAAACGCCATGTAGTTACATGACTAAAATCGATATATCTCAAAAATTGTTGGAAATTTTTTCTTAAAAATTGCACAGGAGACGTCAAATTGATGGGGGAGAAGGTATGCCAAGTTTCAAGTAGATAGCGAAAGTGGTTCATGAGTTATTCAAGAAAAACGGAGGGGGGGGGGTCGGATCCGACCCGGCGGTCGCGGGTTAAACGCTAGCAAATATTTTTCAAGAACATTTGTTCCATTGTATGGGGAAAGGCAACCATCCTTATTTGTCTGATAGGAAAAAATAAAGCAATTTGAGTTTTTTTGCTCTTAAATGATGTAGGTACAAAAAAGGAGATATACATTACCTTTTATAATTTATTGTATTTGTTGAATCTAATTGCCGTTTGATAGTAAAAAGAAACTGACAAATGGTTTAGAATAGAAAAATAAGCAAAAATGTGATTGTATCGGTACTCTAGGACCTTGCCGCCTTCTTCCAGCGGCATTGAGAGGAACGGAAAGAGGCCGTTCTTGCGGCAACTTACCGGCACCCTTATTATCAGTATTTTGATCTATAAAATGATACAGATTTCGTCAGCCAGTCTTACTGGCAAACTCAGGAGTTGTAGATGATTATGGCTGTGCTGAAAAGTTGGGCCCAGCTTCATCCATTTTTTTATTTTGGTAATTTTTGCCTTTCTATACTCCCACTGTGCATTCCTGTATTAATGTTCAGCATATAAACTTTTACGTTTTAAAAACCAGTTTGGAGATCAAAATGATGCTACATTTAAAATTTATTTTGAATCGCATCGGATAAGTATTTCATTTTTGCATTGATAACATGGTGGCAAAGTCACCCCATGTGGCCTGCAATTCACTTGGAAGAATCGCCACCAAAAATGTTAGCTAAATGAAGTGACAAATGCCAGTTTTGTTGGATATGCTAACTTAACAGCCTTGTCATGATCAACCATACCAAGTTTCAGCATCGCAGTTAGTCTAGAACATGGTTAGATAATAAAAAGTTCGGACCTCTTCAAATTTGACCATTTCAATGACTCAAATAAATGGAGCCCAGTTAGGTATTTAGTGGTAATTTATCTCTCATTGCTGGTTTTATTGGAAGGCCTATCAATTATCTTTCATTTGTGCATAACAAATTATTACATTCTTCGTAAATATCATTGGAGATCTTCCTATAGCATTTTTCGAGAAGCATGGCAAAGTCACCCCGCAAGGCAAAGTCACCCCCGTTTACGGTACCAATGATTTTTATATCTCGGATTTTGATATCGAACCTTAACCCTCGCCCTGGCAGGGGGGGTCGATGCGACCCCCCCCCCCTAAGGTTTTTCGAAGATAGCGTAAAAACGCCGGCGCGCAGCGCCGCCAAATTTGGCACAGCCTATGGGGCAACCTTTTTACATATGACCTGAAAATTTCAGGTCCGGGTGACCTTGGGTCAGGTCACCAGGTCAGAAAAACCGGTACAAGGTCATGGTCAAATTTCATTTTTCTTCTTGCACCTGCCCAACTCACAGTTTTCGACTGATTTCCTTCAAACTTTCAGGATGCGCTACGTTCACCGAGTTGTATAACATAGAGTCCGGCTTTTTTGAGGTCACTGACCTGAGGTCAGTTAGAGGTCATTACGTCGTAATGTTAAGCCTATGGGAAAATACTAAATTCGGAAAATACTGGAGATATCCGCTTCGTTCTATCACTTTTGTGCTTTGAAACCACGGTACTTAACAGCAGGTCACTTGGTGCTTCTTTGTTTGGTGCACTTATCCATGGGTCAGGTCAAATGAGGTCAAGTGAGGTCAAATGACGTTTTTGCCAATAACTTGGCACATAATGACGCTAGAGCTTAAAAAATGGTATCATTGTGTTCCTGGTGATCAGCCGAATCGAATGATATGCGATATGATGCAATTTGGTTAACCCTATTAGTGGCAGGGGGGTTGTTTTTATGATGATGAAGATGATTAGCCAGATGCTCATTATTTAGGATCAAAATTGATAGAATAGTTGTATTACGTTTCACCCACGGGGCTTCTTCGGATACATATAGGTAAATTCAACAAATAGAACACAGAGATGCAGGCCAAGCTCAGACACAAATCATGCGCATGCAATAAATATCGTGAAAGGATTAACAGATATCTTGAGATTTAGACGAATAATAATTTTAAGATCGACCCCTAAGTGCGTACTGCGCGCTATTATTTGTCTTTGTTAATAAATACGTATACCTATTTAACAGTCGACAACACAATACGTACTACGCGAATTACGCTATCATTCCATCTCAGAATTCGTACTACGCGCACACTAATACATACACATCATTCTAAATCACAGCTAACAATGACCTATAATAGTGCGTACTGCGCGCTATTATTTGTCTTTGTTAATAAATACGTATACCTATTTAACAGTCGACAACACAATACGTACTACGCGAATTACGCTATCATTCCATCTCAGAATTCGTACTACGCGCACACTAATACATACACATCATTCTAAATCACAGCTAACAATGACCTATAATACCCAATCATAATCAGTGTTCGGCGGTACAGCATATCTACAGGCGCTGCCTACTGGAGCCATCTGTTAGACACGAAAGGAACTACTGCTACTATGTAGGTATCGGTGTCATATAACGCTACCAACAGAACAAGCCAAGGAACAAGCGCTAATGTGCATATGATGATGTGTAGGGAACTGGATGGAGTAAGCGCCATGATGATGTGTTTTTGTTAAGTGCTGGTTTTTTGTTTCTTATCTCAATTGATTCAGTTATTAAAAGGTTCGCTTCGTCCTTGCATCTATGAAGAATAGAAATTTCGAAGTCAGTGTTCATCGGTTGTGCTGTGGGGTGTGCTGTCAGTATATGATCACCTAGGTCAGTACCTTTCCTTTTGTTCCTAGCGTCTCCCAAGTGTTCCATAAATCTAGTCCTCACCATGCGTTTAGTTTTACCAATGTATGTATCTCCACACATTTTACATTTAATCTCATACACAACGTTTTTGGTATGGCATCTACCTTTGAGGCCAACCTCACACGTACTGCAAGTCTTACGACACCCCCTGGGACAATCAGGGGGTTGCAGTGCAGACGAGGTCAGTTGATTTGAGAGTGTAGGTCCGCTTTTCCACGCAACTCGAATATCCAAATCTGAGGACTTCACTGCTGCGTTGACTTTACGTGTGAGGGTTTCGTCAATGTAAGGTAGAGATATGTAGGTAATATTGGGAGAAGACTTTTTCTTTTGAGATTGTTTGTTTTTATATCTGATTGCGTTTTGTATGTTACGAATCAGTTTAATCGGATAGCCGCTGGAAATGAATATGTCCGTTATTTTTTGTAGACCCCGGTCCTGTGCTGCTTTATCAGACCCCAAACGAACAGCTCTAAGCGACTGAGAGTGTATGAGGCTCCTTTTGGTCTGCATAGGGTGGCTGGAGTCAAAATGTAATATGATAGGGGCTGCTGATGGCTTAACATAAAGTTCTGTGGTGTATGCTCCTGAGGGTTCTACAGTGATTAGTGTATCAAGGAAGGGAATTTGTCTTTGTGACGAGAGATCGGTGCGTTCGAAGCTGAATTTTAGACAAGGATGGAAGCTATTAATGAACTGTATGTATTCATCTAAGTTTTGCGAGCCATGGGTCCAAATACCAAAAATATCGTCGATGTATCTAAGGTAAAGTGCAGGTTGTAGTCTATCCGATGCTAGTATGCGTGTTTCTACTGCGTTCATGAAGAGGATAGCCAGGGGAGGGGCTATACGGCTTCCCATAGCTATCCCCTGGGTTTGCTTGTAATATTTTGTACCGAAGCGTACATAGTTGTTTTCCAGACAGTGCTCAAGTAATTTTTTCACATCAGGGATGGTGAGACCATATACGTACACCTTTGACGAGTGGGTACGTAGCATAGCTATAGTCGCCTCTATCGCTTCTGCTGTGGGGATGTTACCGTAGAGATTGTTCACGTCTACTGTGAATGCGATGGCACCGGGTGGGAGGCCAGAAGGGAATCGAGTGCTCAGGTGTTGCAAATAGTCATAGGTGTTAGTTAAGTGGGCTGGTACTAGGATCAGAAGCTGGGTGATTATTCTCTCTAGGAACCACGAGAGCTTGTCAACTGGGTCCCCACATGCTGATACTATGGGTCTCATCGGGTTGCCTGGTTTGTGTGTTTTCGGTTGTTTTTATCCACCCCTCAGGTTTTTCGGGAATATCTCCGAAACCGCTGAAGCTACGATGCTGAAATTTTCTGACTTTTCCTAAAACTAAATTGGGCACATTCCCTGAAAATTTCAAGTTCATAACTTTACCAGGGGCGGCTCCAGGGCACTGGGAATTGGGGGGTCCTATTCGTGAAGCGAGTCATTTGGGCGAAGATCACGATGCTGCACCAGTTTTACGAACAGTAAATGAAAGGTATCATGTGATAACATATACAAAGTTATTGTGCATCCTCTTTTGACACGTTTTTGCTATAATAGGCGGATCCAGGCGTCCAAAAAGGGGGGTTATTTTTTACCTCCCAACATAGGTACCCTGACACCGCCTATGCATGACCAATACAATTTTAGTCGTTCTCTCATAAGAAAATTGTAACATAACAAGACCATTGCCACCCTTTTTAGAAACAGTACCAACAAAAACCTTATTTACTATACTTTTTGTGTACCCCCAATCTCAATGATCTGTATCCGCCTATGATTTTTGAAAATGCATATTTTTAGAATCCATGTGAATTCCTGGTTCATTCTCTATCGATCGGCAAAAGTTGCGTTAAGATTGGTTCAGAAACCTGGCCGTGATAAACAGTCTAAAATGTATCTGCAATTTGCCCTTTTTTACCCCCCTCTACCCCCCTATTGACATTTTTTAATTTTATTTTTTTAGAAATGTAGATCTCGTTGAGCCAAATCGAATGCCGTTTGAATTTTGAAAATCGGCCCGTTAGATCTCGAGATATCAAGGGGGGGTCGTAAACAGCCCCCCCCCCTGCCACTAATATGGGGTAGCCAGGAGCCTGCCACTAATAGGGTTAACTCGAACTTAATTTATTAATTTAAGTTTACTTAACCCTCGCCCGCACATGCCATTTTCCCATCCTAAAACGCACATGGGGCCCCGGGGTGGTTGCCACCCCCCCCCCCGCGCCATTTCGTTCCTGTTGGAGATAGAGCTTAGCAGTAAAGACCAAAAAGATTATTTGGGAAGAGACGAATCCAATGATACCCAGTTTTACCTTCTCAGGTCAGTCATTGACCTTCCAGGTCAGGTGAAACTAAAAATGTTGCTGTTTTGGGTCACCGTTGGATATCAAGTGCGCTGCTTATCAAATACCGATGACGATGCTGTTTTCTGGTGCCAAGCCAGCTAGAACCTCTTTGTCACACTATCCGACCAGAATTTTGCTGCTGAGGTCATTTCAGGTCAAGTTAGGTCAAGGTCAATTATATGTGTTTGTATGTCTGTGTGTCTGTGTGTAAACTGACGTGTGCACCGATTGTTTTTGGGTCCATATCACATGAAATCATGATCTGAGAAGCTTTTACCAAAAATGCAGTCCAAAAAATTCACAAAAAGTAAATTCAGCTTGCCTAAAACGTAATTATCTTAGATGACCTAGGTTGACCTTGACCTTGACCTTGACCCCTGTACATCGTCGAACAACATGTTCCATGATAGGTGGGAGGTAAGACTGGCAAAAAAGGCCGAAATCAGGGTGTCAAAAGCTCACAAGGCCCATGGCAAACGCAAGATGTTGAGAATTGGCCATTTGGGTCATGACATGACCTGAAAAACAAGGTCATATCTCCGAAACCAAAAATTACAGAAACTTGAAATTTTCAGTGGACATCAAGAAAGGATAGGCGAGCAGCTATACGAAAAATAAGCCTTCTAGCTCTAAAAATGTTGAGTGCAGAGCAGAAAGACTGCCTGGGGGGGGGTGGCAACCACCCCCCCCCCCCCATGTGCGGGCGAGGGTTAAAATTTAAGAAAAACTTTAAGTACACTTAAGCAAGCTAAAAAGTATCTCATTCGACGCGCCTGGACGTGCTGAGTTCACTGGTGCTTTTCTTTTTGCTTTATCTTAATTAGATCAAAAGTTAGAAGCGAAAAACTTTTGACCTGTTTTTAGCGAAATTTTTACATTTATACCCCCCAAAACCCCCTAAATATTGACCTAGAGCAACCAAATTTGCACAGGGGCGAGAACTCCAGGGGGCCCACCTACCTACCAAATTTGGTGTTTCTAGGTGCCATAGGAGCCAATCGCGAGGGGGAGTCGCATCGACCCCCCCTGCCAGGCCGTGTTATGAAAAATGCCCTGCCAGGGCGAGGGTTAAGTCACGTCAACGTTGTGACCTCTTCATTATAAGTCAATGGCAGAAAATTGAAATGTTCTTCTTTTGGCAAAAAAAAAAAAACATCCTCAAACATCGGGACATAGGTGGACAATGGACATGACACACTGAACCGGAAAATTGCACCTGTGGTCCCTTTTTGTCCCTGTGGTCATTTAAGTTCATGAAACGCCTCCAACAGTTTTTTTTTACAATAACTTAAGATAGAAACATGGTAGAGCGCTGTAAATACCATGATTGTGTTCAGTTCAACAATGCAAATGACAGGCAACATGACCTTTTCCGTGACCTTGACCTGAGGTCAAATTTTTAAGTTGACCTTTTCAGGTCATTCGACGTATCTTGATGAGATAAACGCGATCCCAGTAAAATCGGTATAATACAAGCTTGAAGAGCTATTATAAAAAAAAACTTTCAAAAACAACTTTAAATTTTGAGACTTGTTCCCTCTGGAGGCTGAACCATTGGTTTTAGGTAAAATATGAAATCATTGATCAGAAAGACCTTTGAAAGAGTCATCGAATGAGTTGTTCTGCTACGCCGTAACTCCATTATTTCCCGACTTGTGCGCGCCGATTTATGACACGTTCTCAAAATCGGGAACGAAAATTCGTAAAAATGTTACATTTGATGACCTCCAGTGACCTCAGCGATGAGCTGATCAAAAATGATATTTATGATTCCGAAAGATCTTATAGCGAACTATCTTTCTAGTTGAGATTTATTTGCCATTGGGTCTACAGTGCAGGGATATTTCTATCTCGCACTCTTCTGAGATGCAAAGATAAGAATTTGTTATCTCTGCATCTCTCTGAGATGCAAAGATAAGGTCTCGAGGGTTCATAGCCAAAAATCAAGAGTTCAAGTGATGATATGGGTCAATAACCGAACGGCATTTTTAATGGCTGTTTAAGTTTATGTACGAAACTTATGAAATAAAAACAAACTACTCTAAATCTTTTTTTTACATAGATGAATACATTTAAATATAATATTTAATTAATTAAGAATAAACCTCAACATAGAAAGATATAGGATTCCTCATGGCTCACTCGTGGAAGATAGGATATCTTTTCCTCGTGTGTTACAGAAAAACCTTGCTCCTTCGTCGCTCGGTTTTTCAGTAACCCGCTTGGAAAAGATATCCTTATCTCCCACTCGGAGCCATGAAGAATCCTCTATATCTATTGCTTTTTACCGCGTCTTTCTAGCTTTCTTACTTTCCGAGATAACCTTGGTGGGGCCAAAAAGGCGGAGTTGGCTGGTGGGTGGGCTAGCAGATCCGGGAGAAGGGATTCTGGCCATTTTCCTCTGCTGCATGGCTCGAAATTGACAAAAAAATTATCTTTCAAGAAACTTCACAGACTTATTGCAAGAGCTCGTTCTAGATAATTCCTAAAAATAGCTCTAGAAAAAAGTTCACTCTAGAAAAGCACACTAGAGCCAAAAACAAGATGAAATCCGATACGTATCCGAAATTTGGTAGCCTCTTATGACGATGGGTATCGCGGGGTCAAATTCATCTTTCTGGGTCCGCCAGTGACCCAGCATACCAGGCATAAGTGAGACATTACAATGAGCGCAAATCATTGTCCATCTCACCGTTCAACTCAAAGGTGAGTGCGCTGGGCCTTACGCCGGCGGGCGGCCCATGACAGGCGCGTGACATTCCTCGTGCCGCCCTTCAGCCGGCCGGCGCCGCGTTCCAGGCCGCCGGCCGCCATCTGCGCGCCCGGCGGCCCGCACGTGCCGCCGGCGTCCCCCGTCGGCCGCGTCGAGCCCGACGCATTCACCATCGTCGGCGGCGACGCCGGACGCGCATTCCTGGCGTTCCTGGCGCGCCGCAGTGGCCGCCGACGCCGCCTCTGCACCTGTCCCCCCCCCCCCTCCGTCGGTGCGCCGCACCGCGCCGCGCTGAGGGGGGGGGGGGGGGCGCCGGGTCCGCCGCGCCGGGGCATTGGAGGCGGCCGGCCTACAGCTGGCACCGGGGGCACCCCACACCTGCTGGGATCCCACTGAATGCCTCGCTGGTATTTAATTGTAAGGGGAAACGGTGTGGGAAGTTGGAACCGTGAGGTCGGTGAGGTGTAGCTGCTCTTGCTCTTGTTATCGGCTGACTCGAAGTGCAGCAGAAGCTAAATTTTAGTTTTTGATACATCAATCAAGTGAAAGAGGACAGTAAATTGGAATATTAACCACGTGTGCTGGTCTGTAGTGATGTTTTCATCGACAACAAAGAGGGTCTGGTGGGCAACGTTCAGCATTCCTGCTGACAGGATGCGGGCAATTTATTTCTCAGATGGGCAAAAGTAGCAAATTTTTGTATTTTGCTTAGCCATACTTCATATTTTAGAAAGTACAGTGGCCACTTCTGATTCACGTCTCTGCAAGATTCCGTTCTGTCCTAGGTCTGGTCATTGTTATATATAAATAGTTGTAGGCATTCATTCGGAATGCCAGTGTTTCTTGCAAGTGGGTGAAATGGTCAAACCGGGACCGCATGAAGTTTCAGTGTGACATGGTAACCTCAACAACAGCCTCCCAATGAACAGTCCGCCTCCGCAGAATAATCCATCTGAAGAAATGATATATCCGAAACAACCATCATGCTGTACTTCTGGGACTACATAGTTCCCATATCCCTTGAATGGGAACGTTGAAACGTTTTTAATTTTGATTGACTATTGTTATCTTCAGGCTCCACTGCGAGCGCTCCTGGGATTAAAAACGCAATCAATTATTTTTCTGCAGTGGAAGGGATCGGGCGGTGAGTCCAACTGATATGGGAGCGAGCACGAGCGTGGGAAAGAAGTGGGACTCTTGGGGGAATAGTCGGTCAGGGGCTGGAGCCAGCTCGAGAAAGAGAGAGAGAGAGAGAGAGAGAGAGAGAGAGAGAGAGAGAGAGAGAGAGAGAGGGAGAGAGAGAGAGAGAGAGATAGAGAAAGAGAGAGGGAAAGAGAGAGAGAAAGAGAGAGAGAGAGAGAGAGAGAGAGAGAGAGAGAGAGAGAGAGAGAGAGAGAGAGAGAGACAGACAGACAGACAGACAGGCAGACAGACAGACAGACAGACAGACAGACAGACAGACAGACAGACAGACAGACAGACAGACAGACAGACAGACAGACAGACAGACAGACAGACAGACAGACAGACAGACAGACAGACAGACAGACAGACAGACAGACAGACAGACAGACAGACAGACAGACAGACAGACAGACAGACAGACAGACAGACAGACAGACAGACAGACAGAGAGGAAGGGAGGGAGACCGATGATTAGGCATAGGAGAGACATAAGAGATACGGAGAATGTTCAGCAATCAACAGTGTAATTTAAATCACTCGGAGGTGAAAAGTATAAGGATAAGTTGTGCGTAGGTATTAAGGCAAAAATAATCACAACTGACGACGCAGCCGATCATTTTTTCCGCGACTTCTGTGCAAGAGGCGATATATCACTTCGGCTACCCATTGGGAATCGCTTGGGGCACCGCGAACCCCCAGCCGAATCATGACCGTCTGTGTGCTGAGGTGTGGCAGCAGCTCGTATCGGATGCCGATGCGTGGACTCTGCAGCATATTAGCATAACACCGCCTGATCGAAGTTCTCAGCAGTCTGAAAATAAGACTGGGTCGAGGAGACCTTTTGCTGCAGTTTTAGTGGAATCAGAGCACTGCGCCGGACTCTGGCCGGGAGTTCGGGCCACTCTGTGAGCTGAGAGTGAGAGCGTGCTGGGCGGCGAGAGGCGGCCGGCCTCCGACCTCCCGCCGTTCTCGGTCAGTCTCAGTGTCACGGCGCGTGGCACGTGCCACCACGACGGCGGCACGGGCACGACGAGCGCCGGCCGGCCGCAGCCACGCTCCGAGCGTCGGCCGGCACCTCCTAACGAGCGGCACCGCGCCGCGCCGGAGCCGCGCCGCTCCCACGCCGCCGTGGGAACGCCGCCGACGGGGGCGGCGCGGCGGCGCGCGCATGCGCCCTGAGGCCCGTCGGCGGCCGCCCGAGCGGCGGTCGGTCGTGTGTCAGACGCAGGGCGGCTTCCGTCGACGGCGGACGCGACACGTGACCTCCCGGCGACGTCGGCGGCGACGACACGTGACCGTCAGCCATGATCAGCATGAAGCGCTCGGTGAGCGACAGCGACTGCGAGGACGCCTTCACCGACGACTGCCGAGAGTGAGTGCGCCGCCGGACAGGACCGCGCTGCTCGCGGCCGCTGGTCTGTCCTCTGCCCGTCTCTAGTTTTTGCCACATGTTTTTGAAACAGATCTGGCCGGGTGCTCTCGGTAGAGAAGCCTGTTATTGGTCACTGATACATCTCTTTTGCTCTCATGGATGATTTCAGCCATCTCTAGCTTCGAGTATTAGGAATAAATTGGTTGATTAATTCGTGCCCTCTCCTGGTAGTTGCCGCATCAATCTAGCCGTGCGGATTATATGGCCCGCTGCCGTTATTGTGCCGCACCAGGCTGTGTACCGTACCGTGTTTTGTCTGCAGCCAGTTACACTACACGTATGTCCATGTCGTCTGACCCGTCCTTCCTCTGCCGCAGTGACCAGTCGGGTGAGTTTGGCACCCACCGCAAGAGGCGGCGCGGGGTCATCGAGAAGAAGCGGCGCGACCGCATCAACAATTCGCTGGCCGAGCTGCGACGCCTGGTGCCCACCGCCTTCGAGAAGCAGGGCTCGGCCAAACTGGAGAAGGCAGAGATACTCCAGATGACCGTCGATCACCTGAAGGTGCTGCACGCCAAAGGTACGTCAACTTATGTTGTCCGCTGGCGTATAGCATCGGGATACTTATGTCGGTCCTGAGGCCACATGATAGCATAGACTGCATGCGCATCGCATGTTTTTGTTGTTCATAGCTGCTTCTAGCTTCACCATGTCAATAACTATCAACGTATGTTTCAGTTTTGTGTTGTATTCGCAAATGTCATGATAACGGTTTTGTTTTCTGCAACAAAACCGTTTTAGAGGTCTGGACAATGGACAAACAACATAACGTTGTGGCATTCCTACTCTCTTCTCAACCGTGATGACTTCCAGTGAGCTGACTGATATCCTCCCTCCCCCCGTGAGAACCTGTTTCCTCCCCACTCTCCCCATTGTGAAGATCTGCCCCCCCCCCCCCCCTTATTGTGAGGACCTGTCCCCCTGGCCGCTCGGCGCGGTGTGCCCGGGGAACTGGGACGGTCCGTGGGCGGCCATCTGCCCGGCCTTCCGGCGCCCCCGGCCATACATCCGCCCCACACGGCGGCGCTGGTGGCGTCCAGTGGCTCCCGGTGGACAGGTGTGGGCTACCCTCGACCCTCTCCGCTTCCCAGCAGTCCAGGTATTCAAGGATTATCCGATAGGCGGGACGGGGTAGTTACGGTGAACAAATCGGTTGTGTTATTAAATTATTAATTTGGTAAGCAGTGTTCTGTGCTTTGAAAGGTGCTTAAAAATATTTTTGAGTCAAAAATATAGGATCGTTAATTGTTATTTCCGGCATGTTCTGATTTCGATTACCGATAAAATTATCCATTAACGATACCTTCATCGCTATCGGTCCTTTGAAAACATTTTTTCTCGATTTTTAGATCATGAGTGATCAATACCACCATTTGCCAATTACAATTACCTATCCATTCGACTCCTCCTCGCGGCTCCATCGTAACTAAACGGTGCGTATATACGTCCCTATGCCCCGCTGGCGGCTGGGTCGTTCGGGTCACAGAGCGGCGCACCGCCGCGGCCCTTTGTGCGCCCGCCGGCGGCGCGGTCGTTCCCACGTGCGCTGCGCCGGCAGCTCCCAGGCTCGGAGCGGGCAGGTGCCGTCGCCGCCGCCGGGACCGGCGCTATGAATGGAGCCACCGGGACGGGCCGGGACCGCTTGGCGCCGACCCGCTGTCAGTGACGCGTGGGGTGAGCTGAAACGGTGGGAGTCACGGCACTGAGCTCACGGGCTGAGACTAAACTCACGGCGCGCGGTCACAGAGTCGTCTCGTTTGCGGTGGACGGCTAACCGCTAACTGTCCGCCTACCGTCCGTCCCGCGTCGGGCAGCCGTCCGTCCCGTGTCCGCCTGCTGTCCGTCCCGTGTCGGGCGGCTGTCCGTCCCGTGTCGAGCGGCCGTCCGTCCCGTGTCGAGCGGCAGTCTGTCCCGTGTCGAGCGGCTATCCGTCCCGTGTCGAGCGGGTGTCCGTCCCGTGTCGAGCGGCTGTCCGTCCCGTGTCGGGCGGCTGTCCGTCCCGTGTCGGGTGATTGTCCGTCCCGTGTCGAGCGGGCTTCCGTCCCGTGTCGAGCGGCTGTCCGTCCCGTGTCGGCCTGGTGTCCGTCCCGTGTCGAGCGGGTGTCCGTCCCGTGTCGGCCTGGTGTCCGTCCCGTGTCGGCCTGGTGTCCGTCCCGTGTCGGGCGGCTGTCCGTCCCGTGTCGGGCGGCTGTCCGTCCCGTGTCGGCCTGGTGTCCGTCCCGTGTCGGGCGGGTGTCCGTCCCGTGTCGGGCGGCTGTCCGTCCCGTGTCGGGCGGCTGTCCGTCCCGTGTCGGGCGGGCTTCCGTCCCGTGTCGAGCGGCAGTCCGTCCCGTGTCGGGCGGGTGTCCGTCCCGTGTCGGGCGGCTGTCCGTCCCGTGTCGGGCGGCTGTCCGTCCCGTGTCGGGCGGCTGTCCGTCCCGTGTCGGGCGGCTGTCCGTCCCGTGTCGGGTGATTGTCCGTCCCGTGTCGGGCGGCTGTCCGTCCCGTGTCGGACGGGTGGCGGAGGCACGGGACGGGTGACGGGGCGTCGCGTCATCCAGTGAGGAGCGTGTGGCGATGGTCCATCGGCCACTCTCGGCGATAGGATGGGCGGGCGGACAGTTGGTGTTACTGTGCTGTGCGCCGCTCGGGTCACTGAGGTCCGCAGCTTTCCCTGCGACTTTGTTCTACGGAAAGTCGCTTGTTGAAACGGCCAGCTGGGCTAAACTTTGTCTGAATATCATTGTGCATTCATCCAGCCCCGACTTGGATCCAGCGCAGTCGTGGTGTCCTCTCGCTGGCCATCTGACCGGCTATAGAAGTCCGGTGCCTCTGTCCTCTCTCCACCGGGGCTGCATTCCCCACCTCCGCGCTCTATCGCCGGCGCGCCTCCCACCTGGCCCGGCGCCGGAAGCGGGTGCCCACCACGCGCCGGGCGCGGCCCAGCTTCCGGTGCGTGCGCCGCTTCCCACAGGGCGGCGCTAATGGGGGTCGGAGGTGAGCCGCCGCGGCGCGACCGTTCCCACGACCGAGACGAGACGGTGTGCCGGCGGCTCCCCCGGCCGCTGGATCCACCGACCTGTCCACCGATCGTTGGAGGAGCATTCTCCACCGAATATGTAATCCTCTGGGCTCCGACATCCACACTAACCGATATATAAACCTCTGCGGCCCCACTGCCCGATACAGAAATATCTCAGCCTGTTGCCCGGCCCTACCGACCGTCTCACCGACCACCGTTACTGACGAGCCTCTCTCTTCTTTCCAGGACTGGACGCGCTGGCGTACGACCCAAACAAGTTCGCCGTCGACTACCACAGTATCGGTTTTCGCGAGTGCGCCGCCGAGGTGGCTCGCTACCTGGTCACCGTCGAGGGCATGGACATCCAGGACCCTCTGCGACTGCGGCTCATGTCGCACCTGCAGTGCTACTCGGCGCAGCGCGAGCTGGCCAACAAGCAGCACAGCAGCGGCTGGGGCTTCCAGCCGTACCCGGCGGCGGCGGCTGCGGCCGGCGGCGTGCCGACGCCTGTGGAGGCGCAGAGCTACCACGGCGCGCTGAGCGGCCACTGCGCGGCGCCTGAGCCGAGCGCGGCGCCCGGCTCCATGGCGCGCTACGCCGCTGCCATGCCGGCCACTATGGGCAGCGTGATGGCCGCCCAGTACCCGGCCAACAGCGGCTTCGGCGCCGTCACCGGCCAGACGGTGAGCTCGTACGGCCTGGCCGGCCAGCCGACGGCTCAGCACACGGCCAGCAGCAGCAGCGCGGCCGGCTCGCCGCGCCCCTACCGGCCCTGGGGCACCGAGCTGGCCTACTGACCGGCGCCCGCCGCCGGCGGCAGCACACGGGGCGCGGACGGACGGAGCGGTCCACTAGTCATTTTGTGATATACGGAGACGGTTGAAGAGATGGTTTCTGGTCATTGTGTATAGAACGATAAGGTATGGGTCAAGTTGGTATGATGTGCTTATACGTCTTCAACGCTAGTCTTTCTTGTTCACTTTCCAGTAGGCAATGCCTACTCTATTCTGTCAGTGATTTGAATGCTCGGAAACATCCTCAGGTAGAGTAAGTTACCGGATGTCTGGCTAGCATGATGTTCTTTTATCTACCGTGAAATCAATTAGCTTTCATTCTATACGTTATCTGCAATGGTTTATATCCGCTATAAAGGCGGTCAAACCCTTGTTTTTAATTCATGCTCGATTGAAACTCTGAGGCTCAATGTTTTGCATTCCATTTCTAGTCGACATGTGTATAAAACGTGCTATAATGCGTGCTATTTTTACATAGTGTGTGATTTTGTGTAATACAAAACATATTGAAAACAATATTCCTTTTTATACACATATTTTATTAAGATAAACCTGCCAAGGAAGGGGTGATTATCTTGCCTCGCAATACGCATTGAGTACCCTCGTATATTGCGGTTATAACACTGCGGCATTTTCCGGCCTCCCGACCGTAACAGCTGCGCGCTATGAGCGGTGCTCGCTGTGAGTGGGTGCTGAGCCTCTCAGAGGCCCCTCACACCGGTATAGGGTCATGGTCCTGATCCGCTCCTTCAGAGGTCGATGTAAGTAGGTAGGTACTTCGAATTGCTTTGTTAATAATAGGTGCACCGTTTAGCTGTCACTTCAACGGGCAGTTGGCCGGTTAGTTCATGGCAGGCATCGGTAAAATCCTTTTTGAAAGGATTGCATTCCCAATCCACATTCCTAGTGCCGAAGTGGATTGCATTCCTATCCGCAATCCCCTTTTTTCACTTGGATTGTAATCAAATCCGCAATCCTTTTTGTGCAATCCTGTTGTATTATTATGTGCACTAGTGGATCTGGGGGAGGGAGGGGGGCATAGGGCCGTGCCTCCATCCCCAAATCACCCATTTCTAGTACCTTAGTCTTGCGAGTAATTCCTATCAAAGGCACAGGTATTTTATGGGAAATATTTTTTCCTCAAACACCCCCACATTTAAACCTCTACCCAACCAGTGTTTTATATTTTTAAAACTCGCCCTCAAATACGTAATTTTGCCCTTCCTATGTAGTTCATCAGCGTATATTATTTTGAGCGTTTAACCCTATTCCTGGCGGGCTCCGCCGGGACAAGAAACTGGCGGGGGGGGCCGATTCGGCCCCCCCCCTGAGATCTCGAGAACGAAGCAAGATAGCGACAAGCGGTAAACGGCATCGGATACGCACGGCCAAGATCTACAATTTTTACTAAGGTCATTTTCAGGTCAGGTCAAAGATGACGTCACAGGGGTCGAAAAAGTCAAAATGGCGGCACTAGATATGGAGAGAGTTTTTCTCGAATAACTTTCGAATTAGTCAAGATAGGAACAAACTAAGGGCATCATCGTGATCCTCTCGTCAATCCGCATCGAATGATATATATGTTGACCTCGAAAGGTCAAGGTCAAAGGTTGACCTCAGGTCACGTGACCTCGAGGTCATCATGTATATCATTCGATGCGTCTTGACGAGCTGAACACAATGAGACCATCCACGCGTCTGTATCTTGTTCCTGTACGGAGTTATTGGCCAAAAACCTTTGGTGACCTTTGATGACGTCACATGACCTCACAGCTGCCCAACAGCAAAACAGACCTCAAGGTAGTGAAGGTTGATCGTATATGAAGTCATGTATGGTATATGGGGCCATTCCGACCCGTTTTAGTGGTAAAAACAGGGAGTTGATTTTTCCCCCATTGACTTATAATGGGGAGGTCGCGAAATTGACCTGACCTTAGGTCACCGATATCAAAATTCCGAGATATACAAATTGCACATACTGGTACCCTAACTAAACCCTGAAGAGAAGAAATTGATCGGTCAAAAACTCTAGCTCTGGCGTGATTGCAAACTTTTCTGAGGTAGCGTCACCAAACCGCCTCTGGTGACCTGACCTGAGGTCAGATCAACTCAAAATTTTCAGACATGTTGCGTAGAAGCCTTTTAGGAAAAGTCAGAAAATTTGAGCTTCCTAGCTCAACGCGTTTGGGAGATATAACCAAAAAACCTCAGGGGGGGGGCTCCTGAGGCCCCCCCCCGCCAGGAATAGGGTTAAATTAAAAGCGTTTAAATTATTTCAAGTTTTGATGTAAAGCCCTTGATAGCAAAGTATGTACACAAAGCCGATGAAGGCGATCTCATAATTTTCAATCGCAACAAACCATTTCAAAGCACTAATCAAACACAATCCGGATTGGATTGCAAAAATTGGAAGTATGATGAAATCCAATCCGCAATCAAATCCTGTTTTTTGGAATGGATTTCAAATCCAGGTGCAATCCACCAAAAAGGAATGCAATCAGGATTTTGCAATCCTGCAATCACAATCCTACCGATGCCTGGTTCACCATGGAATAACGGCTGTCGAACGACGCATGCCACAAAAGGGCACGCGGGGTGACGGATCTGAGAGAAACGTCTGTACGTTATTCCGTCAAGTTAAACCAGCGATTGACTGAACCTTCAGCATTCGAGGCAGTTGCTAACACAGTTCTCCAACGCTGCAATGAACTTATCATTTAGCCGCCTCAGTATGCATAACTATAGTTCTCCTGTTCTACTTGGCAGCCTGAGCCGCAGGCTGTCTTTCTCGAGCACTCAAATACCTACGGTTGCTCGCATCTACAGCATTCTAGCATATGTGCTACCGTTTGACCACTACCACACGCTGCCTATATGTGTGAATGTGTCCATCGTCAGTGACAGCTGGTCAGGGGCGCTCACCGCCGCTGATCGGCAGCTAACAGGTGTTGGCTCGATTGTCGCCAACGCGCCACCTTCCGCCCGAGCGAGCCGGCCAATTCATTGCAATCAGTCGGTCCATTCACACTGGACAGAGCCGAGCGACATGTAACGGCCACCGCCTGCCGGGGCCGGGCTATCGACTCATAAACTCGGCCGGCCATTGTGGGGACAGGGACCACGCCACTGACCGGGGACCACTCCCCACTGACCGGGGACTACTCCCCGCTGACCACTGGGGACCAGGACCACTCAGTTCGCTACAGTCCGCCTCCTGTGCGAGCCACAAACGGGCAGCTACCAATAGCCCTATTAGTGGCAGGCTCCTGGCTACCCCTATTAGTGGCAGGGGGGGGGGGGGCTGTTTACGACCCCCCCCCCCATTGATATCTCGAGATCTAACGGGCCGATTTTCAAAATTCAAACGGCATTCGATTTCGCTCAACGTGATCTACATTTCTAAAAAAAAAAATTAAAAATGTCAATAGGGAGGTGGAGGGGGGGGGGGGTAAAAACGGGCAAATTGCAGATACATTTTGGACTGTTTATCACGGCCAGGTTTCTGAACCAATCTTAACGCAACTTTTGCCGATCGATAGAGAATGAACCAGGAATTCACATGGATCCTAAAAATATGCATTTTCAAAAATCATAGGCGGATACAGATCATTGAGATTGGGGGTACACAAAAAGTATAGTAAATAAGGTTTTTGTTGGTACTGTTTCTAAAAAGGGTGGTAATGGTCTTGTTATGTTACAATTTTCTTATGAGAGAACGACTACAATTGTATTGGTCATGCATAGGCGGTGTCAGGGCACCTATGTTGGGAGGTAAAACATAACCATGGATGATATAACACTGGATTGGTGTCTCGTGGAAATTAACATTGGAATCCGCGACATTGGGATCAGGCCTGCCATCTAGCGAGAGAATTATCGTAAGTTAGGAGCAAGCCGAGTGAACGCCATCCCTCAGCATTATGACACACGTGGGTGTGGTGTGTTAGTTGGCTTGAAGTGCATATTCCCACGAGTTGGAGGTAATCTTACTGGACTTGAGACGATAAAAATGTCTTAAATGCTTGAAAGCCAAAAATGTCAAGCAGCATTTAGGTAATAACGAAAATAAAATGCGTAAGACGGTGTGCAGGTATTGAAACGGCCGGTCCCATCGGCTTGTACGACCTTTTCAATGGTCATTTACTCACAGTGGTACAGCAGGTTGACAATATGTCATACACATTTGGTAGGCTCCTATTCCTTCTTCTCCGAATTTCGCTCGATTTTCTTCATCTTAGTTAACCCTAGAACGCCTAGGGGGGGGGGGGGTTGTATCAACCCCCCCCCCCTGAGGTTTTTTCGAAGTGCACGCTAAACGGCTTGTCGTAGCGGGCTGAAATTTTCAATACCCTCTGGGGCAACCTTTGCGCATCTTTTGCCGAAAAAAATTGATCGGGTCATGTCAGGTCACGGAGTTATGACGTCATAAGAGGTACAGCCTCCGGCCGGATTTTCACAAACTGAGTGCCAACGCCCGAGGTTTCCTGCCGGTGGTACGGACATCGGTTGATGGATCGTGATGAAACTTCCCATGCATGTTGGGGCAAGTATTGGCTATCATATGGTATAAGAAATTTGACCGGGTCAGGTCAGGTCACGGAGCTATGACGTCACAAGAGGAACAGCGTCCGGTACTATTTTTGAAAAGCGCCCGAACCACTATTTTGCTAATTCTTGTCACCTCAATGGGAATATGCAGCAATATTAGCTTCTATAGGGAGCAAATGGACCTCCCAAATCCAAAAATACAATCAGATTTCAAAAATTTAAATTTTGATTTTTCGAATTTCTGCCGCCGACTGTGACCTTGCCGACTTCCGGCGCTCCCAACGCGCCATTTTTAGAGCTAGAGAAACGAAATACATACCAAACGATAGGGAATTGATCAAGGAACACGATAGTGAATGTTTCAAGTCGATATCTCCCACCGTTTTGCCGCAATCGCCGCCGAAAGTTGAAAAAGTTTATTTTTCCGAAAATTTGACCTTTGACCGGTCAAAAGTAGGTCAAATGTTGACCTAGGACCAAAAAATATACCACCAATCGCGAGATCTCGTTGAGAGCAATCCGTTGGTTTTTTCCGCTAAGCTCTACGACCTTCCGTTTCGAAACGCCGGGGGGGGGGTCGTAACAACCCCCCCCCCTGGTCGTTCGTGTTATGAGAAATGGCCTGGTCGTGCGAGGGTTAATTGTTACGGCACGTGCCACGTGCCAACTTAGGGGTGTCGAAATTGTTCCACATAAAGTAACTCCGCAACATGGCCGGGCCCATTACAGTAAAACTTCGTTAATAGTTAGGCACCCAGTGGCCAATGCATTTCCATGTGTCACTTATATGAGGGTGCTACTGCACGTGCGCACGTGCGGGGTGCCGCTTCCGTATCTCAAGAACGGCTGGGCGGATAACACTCAAACTTTGTACACAAATGTCACATCGATGCTCGCACTGCATTGATCAGTGCTTACATTGGTGCAGAGTCGTAAAGAAAACGAGGAAATGAGATGCGTGGTGTTAA